TCCGATATTTTGATATGCAATATGAACATTTGTTTATCTGTCATTTAACAATTCGCAGGCGGTTTTCCATTGTCTGTACTCTTATTGACAATGAAATTGACGTCAAAATGCTCAAAACTCAAGTGGAACCACGAGCGTAAGCGAGCTTGTTTTGACTTCAGTGTCTCTCTCGTTTGGGAAAAACTCTGCCCTGTAATCACGGACTCAGTGTACCGGCATTCAAGAATCTGGACAAAAACAAGTCGAGCTCTCGAGGAGGAATTTCTTCAATCGGGCGAGTCTCCTTCTCAGCCGTAAGAAATAACTGAATGAGCGACAGGTCGTTGTTCGTCTTTCTTTTGGTGTTTACATTTTCCTCCTGCTCGATAAAGTCTTCCACGTCTTCTAGATTAAATGTGACAAACCTTTCTGCCATTTTTTGAAGGTTTTTTTGAAGAAAGATGTAGAAAACTCCAGTGAACAAACCAAGGCAAAGGCAAAGCTGCCGATCATTTTCGCGCCTGAGGAAAATGACGTCATAGAATGCGAAAATCTGATTGGTTTATAATTTCACATGTGAAAAATATCGCATCTTTACGTGTGCTTAAATACGAAATTTCTCAGTTGCGGAAATCCTTTTAAAACACTATAGGTTATATAATAAATAGTGCAAATACAATTTAGACCATAGTGCGCTCACAAATAAAGTGAGTTGGAATTGTTACGCCAATGATTCGCTCGGTGTTTGTACTGAACATGTTTGAAACAATTCGAAAAACCGGTCCAAGAAAATCAACATCTTATAAACCGATTCGCACGGATGAATCTGGTGTCAGTGGTCTAATATGATTATAAGAGTTGACAAATACATTACATTTGGAATCAAAAAAAGCAGTACTAAATCAATTCAGTATCTGCCTAAACTTCTAATAAATGGCGTCCTTGTCCCTTGTGTCAAAATTGGAGAGTCTTTTCGATATTTGGGAAGATTCTTTGATTTTAACATGTCTAATGACCAACATCGAACTGGACCGAACTGAAGTGACCTCCGCTATGCGTGACATGATGTCTGACATTGATATGAAACCGCTTCATCCTAAAAATAAACTCCTGCTATATTGTCGTTATGTGTTATCTAAAATATCCTGGCATTTAACTGTTGCTGTTAACTATCCACCCCTTATGTTTACATGTTTTACCCTAACCCTAAGTTTGGTCGGCAAGGGCAAGCGGATGAGCAGGAAGCGATTAAGCGCAGGGCTTCTCGATTTTTTCCCATATCTTAACCACGCCCAGTTATGAGCGGTTACATGCATAGCGGTGAAAATGGTTTACTATGTTTTGCATGTTGCAAGCATAAATGTGATTTTAAAATATTGTTGTAGGACAATATACTTTTAAAAGTATTATGTCAGACTTGGCTTGAAAATACGAAAGCTGCTAATCTACCTGCTAATTTACATGCAGTGCATCACTGGAAAAACTCGCGCGCTTTAAAGGTTGTAAATTTGATGTAAATATGATGTGGATGGAAATCATTTACATCAAATTTACAGAATTTTGGACACTTACATCATATTTACATCAAATTTACAACCTTTAAAGCGCGCGATCTTTTCCAGTGCATGTACAACATGTTCTTAACTTTTTTTGATATTTTGTCTAGGAGGGCATGGTTTTTGTCTGYAATAGGGTGATAATTTGATCGTTTTAATCTGAATATAGAGGTGCAGGTTTTGTTTGGTTTTAGTCTGGAATGCTGTTTCGGTCGACAGTGTGGACGTGTGATGATCCATCTTTGGTTTAATAGGAACTTTTAGCTATTTTTGAAAATTGATAAAAACAGGATAATAGGATGAGCTTAAACACGATAAGATTATGATGTTATATTCTGTCTAATCATATGATTATATTATGAATGTAATTTATGACGTAGAATATATTTTTTTACTTCTAATACATAGTGAAAGCAAGAATGCATTACTTTCACTTTAAAGTGCAACTGAACCCTTCTAGAAAATCATTTCATTCGAAAGAGAACATGCTGCTAAGCACTTCTGCAAAGGGAAAAAACATTCAAATTTATAACTTCTGATTTATGAATATTTGAATCTCGGAAATGCAAATTAAGTGACGTTTACTGAGGAATGATTTAGTATGCAAAATCACGAAAAAAAATGCTTTACTCTTTTTAACTCGAAGATTGCGAAGCAATCGAAGAGTTATTGGAGGGGTGTATAATATCACAATTTCTAATGCCTTTTAAATAACTAATTGCAATAAGAATATAAGATAAAGATAACAATATTCATGTATTACACACATATTATGAAATGAAATAATCTACTAATACATATACTTTTTAGAGCCAACTAAAACGAAGAAAGCCAGATCGGACTCAAACGAAAACGAGAAATTTGCRGGACTAAAGAACTCATACGAGCACATACTTGCTAGTATCGAGGGTAAAGACTGCAAGAGACCTGGCCTTCTAAAAACACCAAGCAGAGCTGCTGAAGCAATGATGTTTTTTACCAAAGGATATAATGATAATTTGGAAGGTACATAAAGGAGGCAATAAAATTAAATCCCACCGATTCCTTCTGATWAATGTATTTCGTTCGGTGCTCATTATTGCCCTTTCCGAAATTCAAAAAGGGACTGGTGACTAGTCACAAACTCGATACCGTTTGAAGCAATCAAAAAACAGACACCAGGACAAGAAAGASCATACTAAAATTGGTAAAGCTGCTGAGTTGGAGAGTATTCAGATTAATAATTACAGAGTTTGAAGCGTTTAAACTCGAAAAAATTACAAAGAATGTATGGAGCTCTTGAGCAACGTCCCCAAAAACCATACATTCTCTCTTATTTTTTACAAATTTGAAAAAATTCCTACTCGGTGAGTATTTATAACCAAATACGCTCAAACTTTACAAGAACAGTTGTTTTAGTGGTCTTTCATGTGATGAGGTTCAGTTTTCAAAGAATGTAATATTTTCACACCCGTTCCCAGTTTCCTTTTGAATTTTGGAATGGCCAATTTCTGGGAAGGTTATTAACATGATTGTTAATSATGTTATTAAACTGTTTACGTGAGTGCGAATAGAAAGTAATCACCCAATTCAATGGATAGTTTAGGGTCAGATAATAATGTACTTTGAAATCGTAGTAGTATGTAGACTTGRGATTKTCTATATCTTTAACAATACATCAATGTTTATATAAGGTTCTATAAAATTTGTGATATAAACGTGTGCTCATGATTGCCTGACGCTGTTTATATCAGAGGATAGAGACACGGCTTACCCGGCAAAATTTGTTTTTAGCCCGAAAACGCAAAAACAATTTATAAAAAAAATTTCGCTACGGTCGTGTTTCTAAGTGTCTASCGGGCCCAAAATTAACCACATCAGAGGCTTGAATCTTTTAGTATCAATTTATTGATTACAGTTAGGAGTGTTATAGCAGTTATAGAGACATTCATTACATTACATGGTATAGACTTCATTACATAAGCTTGCTTCTCTCGTGTTTTTCAACTCCCACCGTGTTTATATCAGAGGACACACGTGCCGTGTTATGTTTCTTAAATATCGGTTACATAACCCTATTTTACAGCCTCGTGACTATGTTCTGCTCAAATACCATAAATATGACTTCGTTGGTGCTATTAAACAATAGAATCAATTACCGGATCACGAATTACACTATACTAAGATTCCGATACGATATTTAGGAAATTAACATGATTTTAAATGACTAGATGGCTGTTGCTCCCCAYTGTCTGGCGAACACATGCTGGTTGACATTCAACTTTGAWGCTAATGGCCTGAAACTTTAGTTACAGTACGCGAAGTATTTTAAGTTAACCATGGACGWGAGATCCTATTTACAGAAAAGATGTTTAACAGATCTGAAGTTTAAGATTTGCTCAAAATCTGAGGAATAAAAGTGTAAATAGATAGAAAAGTATCGTTTTTTTGTGTTAGTCATTGGTGATAAAAACGGCGCCATTTGGTTTCTAATTTCTAAGTACATTCTTCATTAACAGACCAACAGAATTCAAGACTTTTCACTTTGATAATGAGACAGTTGTGTAAAAGATAAGTTTTAACAGCGTGAAAAGTAGAAACAACTTACAAATATAAACATGCAATAAACGTCACCAAATGATACGTTCTTTTTAATGTGAAACCCGTGTTATATCTAGTGATACTTAGCGTAACTTGCATTGCGTAATGCTACTTTAACAATAAAAAAATGTCATATTAACTTTACTTTGATTTTATAATAACTATAATTGTTACGTTTTTTGTAGAAACTCTGAACGATGCGATATTTGATGAGGATCACAATGAGCTTGTTGTAGTTAAAGATATTGATTTCTTTTCTCTGTGTGAGCACCACCTTGTTCCATTCATTGGTAAGGTAGGTAGTCTTTATCACTTATTCCTTTGAGATTCAAAAGACTGGCGGTCATGTTGGTGGCATGYACAATAGATGCTACTGACTCAGTCCAGCAACATGCCGTGAACCAGCAAATGTAGGTTAGTACTGAGACTGATAARTTCGAGAGATTSATGTGGTATATTTTCATCCTTCTAAGGGAGCAAATCCTCCGCCGCATCACTGGCAATAAATAATGACAGTTCTCTAACTAGCGYCAACGTAGTGTGAGCTGCGTCGATGTTTGTAAAGAAACAGCTGTGAAATTAAATATATTTTAATACTGAAAAAAATAGGTGAAATAACTTAACGTTATAACGTTACTTGTTATTTCACCTACTTTTTACTGTGTTTTAAAAGATTTATTATTTTACAATAATTAACTAGAGTGAAGTAAAAAACGTGAAATAGATATTACGCGAACATCACGCCCTAATTGCTTTGTCTTCCTTTGTGTCTGTTTGACTATCATATCCTAATATTCAAATTAGCAATAATAGCAAATTCTGTTTCTACTTCATAATAGCAAATTTTGTTTCGACTTTAGTCACTTTTTTTAAAGTGCTAGATCAATGTTATATAAGGGACTGTGCAATAATTACCAGGAGGGGGGGCACCAGAGGGGGGGGGCATAACATAAAATTGATGGCAAGATAGGGGGGCTCAAAGTAAAATTACCTAATTAACAGAGGGGGGGGCTTAAGTTTTATTCAAAATTTTAATAATTTTCAATGTCTCTCAAAATGCTGGAAATCGCATTTCCAAGAGTTATTTCTTTCAAATTTTGAAAAAAAAATTCAAAATTTTCTGGGGGAGGACCAGACTCCCTTAATACTCCCGCCTTTGGGGTTCGTTAGACCCCCAGATCCAAAATATATGTCGCGGTCCCTGACATGGGCATAAAATTAAGTCGACACTACGCGCCTGACTAACGGAAATCTAAATTCAAAGGCTCGCTGATGTGTGATTGAAATTGACCAAGATATGAATTTTTTTCAACTATTGATATTTTCAATTTTGTCACATAAATTGAGGATGTAGTTTTCACATAAATTGAAGATGTAGGTGTAGGTGAATTGAAGATGTGGGTAGACGTTATTTCTAATATAGCAGAGGGGAGGTGGGTAAGAGCTATTTTCTTGTGCTTCGGAGGGGGGATTCTAACTAATTTTCTGCTTAAGAAATCTGGGTTTTTTTCTTTTCCCAATGGATTGGTAAACCACTTTGTTTTGTCATTTTTTACTGTTTTTTTATTRATGTACGGGTAGTTATTTAAAATCAAACTAGAAACTAGACAGTATGGCATTTCGAAAAGCTGTATCTTTTATAAAGATTTGGTCATTTTGTATTAAGAGTCGACCTATTTTCACCTTGGAATCACTCTAATTCTTAATATTATCTCGTTGCATCACAGGTCCATATTGGATATTTGCCGAATTGCAAAGTCGTTGGATTGAGCAAAGTTGCAAGGTATGCAGTTCGTCTACCATATTCTCAACCTGTTAGCTAGTCTCCTCGCAGCCGTTCTTAGTGGCGGGCTCCCTGTCCCCGCCCCACAAACGGCTGCTACAATCAGGGCTTTGATCGTTTTTCCAGTCACAGTTCGTCTTTTATTTCCTTGCAGCAGTTCCCGCCAAAATTAGTGACCAATAGAAACTCGCATATTATAAGTGCGATCATACTAAACATGGCGGTTGACATCGCGGACAGTTTTGTGTTTGCTACTAAAAAATTCAAGATATCGTGCTTAAATTCTCACCAAAAGCTTGCCATTACAAAACTTATAGATGACAGACGAGATGTGTTTGTTAATTTACCTACTGGTTTCGGTAAATCCTTGTTTTTTCAAGCTTTACCGATAGTTCTCGATCCATTCAACGAAACGTCCAGGACACTTCGCAGTTCTTGGTGTTGTTTTTGAGCGTGCAATGATAGATACCAGTGTGAATAATTGACTGTAGGTGTAAAAGAAGGTTTCTATCATTGCATGCTCAACGGTCGTCTCGCTTTGATGCAAAGGCACGGCTACCTTTCAAGATGGCGCAGGGAACCGTGAAGAAGACTTTTTGTCAGGTGTCTTTTAAGATTTAAAAATTGTGAAATTATTCAGAATGCTGCCTGTCTGTTTTGTGCTAGAATAAATACTATACTGTCTTTTATTTTAGAATTGTGGAAATCTACAGCAGAAGACTTCAAAGTAAGAAACTATTATGTTGATATCCTCTTATATATATATCCTCTTATATATATTACGATTTATTTTTATTTAAATACAGATTATGTCKTGCCTAGGCACCGAACTTTGCACGTGCCGAATACAATTTACGAGTAAATTTATGTAAGGAGCGTCGTACAAACCAATTAAATTCAATAGTGTTAGTGTACTCGGTCAAACGCCACTGGGACGATAGGGCAATGGTGGGGCAGTCGATTTCGCGGTCGCATATCACATGTTGAAGATGTAAAGTATGCATACTTCTTATAAGAAAGTCGTCCTTGTTATCAGCCATATCAGAATACACACTGATCGAGAGGATATTGAAAATTATATCCGACGTCTATATCAAATGCCGTATTCATTTATTTTAGTCGACAAACTTGGAATTGTACAGTTCGGCACGTGTGAAGTTCAGGGCCGGGTTGTTCAAAGCCCGATTAGCGCTAATCCTGGGTTAACTGTTAGAAATCCTACGGAGTTAAACCTGGATTWACTCAAATCGGGCTTTGAACAACCCGGAACAGCGTATAACTAGGCRTACATTTTTAACATGCGCTGACTTGTAGGTAGGATTATATTAGAAACAAAAAAAGGTTTCACATTTTCTCGCAACATTGCGTGGTGTTGTGAGTTATTCTCCTCGGAAGAGAAATAGTCCTCAAAATATCATACTCGAGGCTTCGCTTCTTGGCCAAATGTTCAATTTTCGGACCATTTCTCATCCTCGGACATCAGCCGATATCCCAGCCGCCAGAAGGGGTTTATTTACTAAATAACCCTAACCCTTAATCTTAGTGCAAATGATATGATCATAGAAATAACAAAAGGTTTTGAACTGCTTATGTGAAATTTGTCTCATGAAGATGGCCGTAAAATACCTTGATGCACGCTGCAGTTACGTGCTCATGATGCCAGCACAGGCAACCCAACCTAAGCATTTATCCATCTTATTGAACGATATCTATAATACATGTAAATAGGACCTTTTTGGATAAAAATATAAATAAATAATGTTTTCCTTACCTTGCCATGCTAATTTAGTTCTGTATTACATGTTTGAATTTCCGTTTTCATTGATATCTGCCCTTACACTTACAGACTTCATTCAATAGATCCGTGTAACTTAAGAAATTGTCTGAATTTGCCAAATTTTGTTAGAAATTGGCGAATAAGTCATGCAAACAAGATCAGATTAAAACTTGACTACCATAACACGCAAGTAAAGGCGTTTTAGTGAATCTTTATTCTTTCGCGCTGCTGCAAAGTTAAGAGACACCACTTCGAACCTATTCTTTGTTTTCACTACATTTGACTGCGACCATCTTGGAGGAACTTCAACAAATATTTTCTCATACGTATCTATTCTTCATTCCAKCAACATGGAATATCCATCTTACAAATTACAAGTTTGTACAAATTTGCCAAATTTGTTTTGTAAGGCGTTTCACGGATGTAATTGAATTCACTCTATCAACAACTGTTGGTGATGTCTAAGGTGAACTTTTCCGGTACAATTTGGACAYGCCTGTGGTATTTTAGAATTAGAAAGGGATCTTGACTATTGAATTTATATATGTATAGAGAAGGGCAAATTTRAAGGCAAACTGCAAATCAAACCTTGTAATTCAGTACTATAAAAAGTCATCCAAAAACGTCGTATGTACATTCATTAAAGATATTGCTAAATCAGTTACWTTAGGTTGRTTGTGTTGCGAGCTACCGCCAAATACAAAYCTTGTCGTTTAAGTGTAAGAATCTAATGTGTYTWTTTCATTTTTAGTTCAAGAGCGTTTGTCTAAAGAGATCGCAGAGGCAATAGTCACAGCTACAAAGCCYCGTGGTGTTGGTGTTGTTATTGAAGCTTCGTAAGTCCTCTTGCATCACATTGTTTCATATCATAAAATCAAATTACTGCGTTGGGTTTGTAAAATGAAATAATTCCTTGATCAATCAGTAGTACATATATATTTTTAAGATAAATAGACCCGTTGCCAAAATTGCATGCATCATTTACATGATTTTTTTATCCTAATCCGAAATATTCTCCTTCACGGTTCCATGCGCCTATTCATTACCTTTGCATGGAAGTAAGACGACCATTGAGTGTGCAAATGGTACAAACATTCGTTCACGCCTACAAACATTCACAGGATGTTCATAGAAAGAAAGGAATGAAAGGGCACTGTACGAGTGATCGCGTTTTCAAAACAAGCAATCTTATAAGGGTCTTATAATCCCATCACTATAAGCTCGCTTTGATAAGATGTTGGCTATTGGTATCATTATGCATCTTTAAATTAACAGCATAATTTATTTCCCTTTTTTCCAGGCACATGTGCATGGTGATGCGCGGAGTCCAGAAAGTCGGGAGCAAAACAGTCACAAGCTTCATGCTTGGAGCGTTGCGCGAAGATGTCAGAACGCGTAACGAATTCTTGTCACTTATTAAATAATCTTTTTTAAGCGAAAGACTTTTAGTACTTTTTGCATTTGAAAAAGACAATAATTTTACATATTTGAATAAAGTCAATAAAACTATGTACCTAATTCCTGTATGCAATTCAGCACAACTCAACTCAATACACAGCACAGCACAGCACATATTCTATCATAGCTTAGCATAGAAAAAGCGCATTGACACTGAGAATTTTTTTGTGTCTGCTGGTTACTATACGACATGTTTTGTGGAGCACTATTTGGTAGAGCTGGACAAGATCATGATTTWCATAGCTATTTGAGACAAAAGAAATCAGGTTTTTTAATGAGTTTTGTGAGGAAAGTTTACTATGGTTTGATGAAAAGAAATTCAAAAATTAAAACAGTGGTATGTTTTTGAGGCGATTGAACTTAGAAAATAGCTTTCTGTGCTTTTTATACCTGGAGTCCTAGGGAGACTGGTATGATACCAAAGGATACAATGGGATACCATGGAATGTGGTACCCTGGGATGTACTGGGACACCATATTTGGGATGAGCTGTTATGCGACTACCACAAAACGGATATCAAGACAAGGAAGATCATACTTTGATACATTACTWGCTACGATGTAACGATAACGCAGATTGATGCTATAGCTGTAGGCAAAATTCTTTTCATCTAATTTGGATTGTTTTGTTCAATATTTCATTGTCTCAAATTTAAATCCCGTCATTCTATCAACTGACTTGACTGTTAAAACTGATGTAAAACGAAGAGCAAAAATCAGTTGTTTTATGTCAGAATTTCAGAAATGTTTTTGCTTTGTATACAAAAACTTATAGCTGCTACTTCAAATACTGTAGTGAAATAACCGCGCAAACTGCTCCAACATCATTCAGCATTTCTGAGAACAAAAGAAATGTTGAACGGTGATGAAGTTTAACTTCTTATTGAATAAATACCGTTGAAAGCGTTTGCTCGCCGCTTTAGAGCGTAGGCTTGGTTTCTTTAGTTATTGCCTGATTACCGTGTTCAGGCCAAAGTCCTGCSACACGGTTATAAAATGCAGCGACTTTACTTCTTTTTTTCACGTCGCAGTTTAGCAATCGCAAGAGACCCATAATCCGGAGTTCCAATGTTCGATACCCCACCACGTCTGAAAAATTCTTTTTTTAATCTTTTTTTCTTTCTTTTTTTAACTGAAATATAGCTGCATTTGTTAAATTTTGGAAACATGATGATACTCGAACAGCGGCGTCGAACAGAGGATCGCGGTTCAAATCTCGTCTCGAGCACTTTTTTTTCTTTTTAAATATAAGATAGTTGTTATAGTCATCTTGATTTTCTGTAGATTTTGTTTAATAATTATTTTCGAGCCATTATTTTGATTTAACACAGAATATTATACTCGAATAGCGTCGAACTTAGGATCGCGGGTTCGATTCTCGACTCGATCGCTTCTAAGCGATCCTTTTTACTTTCCTTCTTTCTTTTTTTACTGAAATATAATTATTTTTATTTTTCCTGTAGATATTTGTTTTACATATTTTACACACAAGAATAGCGGTATTCGTTTTCCCAAGTGTACAGAATGTGTTTTTACTAAGACTGTTCTAGTTGAATGATAGTGACTAATGGTCACTAAATAAAAACTTTTTGTGTTAGTAACTATTWAGATTTTATTTTATGGTCATAGTGTAAGCACTCTAAATAAATACGGCAAGTTAAAAGCAGGTTTTCTGATCTGAACGCTGCTTTAATCAATGACGATATGAAATTAGCGGTAAACTAGTGATTTACCCAAATCTAAGACTAACATCCAAAACGTCATTAAGTTATTTCCTATAATTTACGGTGTAAAATATCTCTTTGTTCTTCTCTACTGCTACTATATCAAAAATAAACATACTTGTCAAAAGACGATAAGAGAACGAGTAAGATCTGAAAATTGCAGTGTCGGTGACATAGGATCAGAATTTCTAAGTCTTTTGAGGCCTGAACAACCTCGTTTTTATGTTTTTCGTAATGTTCGTYCAAATAAGGTGTCTATTCCGAGAGTGGGTTCAGCATTAGGGATCTTAGTCAATCGAACAAATTCAGGCTCAAAGTCAATCGGATAATATACACATGCTGCCCAACTATTGCTCGAAAGAAGAAAAGCTCGCTTTATATTTATCGACGCACGCTCTTAGTGAAACTCGTCGGACCAACTGTGATATTACGTCACGATCCAGTGCCCAAGGTATGTCKAGTGTGACACTGGTTATTTTCTAGTCAAGAAATGAACATTTCACACTGAAATTCATTAGGTAGTTAGGAAATCTGGCGATGTAGTATTAGTAAGAGTTGAAAGAAAATGGATATCCTATATCCATTTGTCCAAAGTAGTGCAAACTGCTGTTGACACKGTAGGAAAGTAAGGAAATGTAGCTAAACGTAGGAAAATATGCTAAAAGATTCCACTATAGGAAAAATCTATTTATCCAAGTCCCTTCTTTTGTTCACATAATCCCCAAACAATAGACCATTTGTTCTCTATGGATTCACTCAAGGGTTTATTAATGCCTGAATATTGCCTCTTAGAGAGACTGTAAGCAGTATATCAATATGGAAAAGATCAAGATCGATGGAGATGTGATGGAAGAACGCGCTTTTCTACAAGAATTGATATCGACTACCTTGCGGTTATCGTATACCAATTTATGTAATGAGGAGCTTTGGAAATGTCTACTCAAGAGTGAAGGTTGTGATTTAAGTCATTTAAGTACGCCAAAGGATGCTTGGTCTTTTTACTATGGGAAGGCCGCCCATGCAGTAAAAGGCATTCGCGTATGGGGCTTAGCACAAGAAGTTGCTTCTCTTCTAGGTTTCCAAATCCATCTGTCGTGGAATAGATATATTTCGCTACTCTATCAGCTTCCTTGCGAAGCCGTGTACTCTATTTATTGTGAAATCAACAGTCTTGACGATCGCAAAGAAAAACAAGAAGACCCCGCTTCTCAAATCCTACACGTTTTATCAAGAGGAGAACTGAATGTATCTTCGAGGAAGAATACAGTGAGAAAAGCTTCTACAGTAGCTTATCCACATGAACAGTAGCTTATCTACATGAACAGTAGCTTATCATGAACAGCAGCTTATCTACATGAACAGTAGCTTATC